CTGATGGTATCTGTACCTGATTTAGCTCTTATTTCAACAACTGCCACTAAATGAAATAACATAATGTAATTAACTACTTTACTCATTTTATTTACCAAAATAGATAAATTAGGTTCGGACAAACGAGCTTCCGCTAATCGGGGCGCCCCCTTTGGGCGTTGAGCTGCATGAAAGAGCATGGTTTTGAGCTGTCCCGAGTTGGCTGGTCGCTCGATCCGCGTCTTAAATAAATAACAGCCTCTCGTCTTTTTCAACCCACCTCCAACAAAATTTTCACTTTGTGATTAAAAATTTTGGGGCATCACATCACAGATGAGTTGGGTGTTTTCACTTCAACCGCATCACTTTAGAGGTAGGCAAGCCATTCATCTAGTGATCTAGTCTGTACAAACAGTTGAGCTCTGCGAATGAGAATAATGTAAGACAGATAGAAAACAGTTGGAGGTCACTGATCTATTTTTTAATAATTTTTTTTCAGAGAGTGCATACAGGACTTGTGTGTCTTTCACATCATATTTAAACAACCTTTGGAACATGGCTAATATACATAAATAGATCGAGGGTGAAAAATATTCTCATTAAAATCTTTCCCTTACTGATGTTTGTCACCAAAAATATACTTGGAAGTTATCCAGGCTTCTGCTTATCTTAATTTGCACTCATCATACATGTAATTTATTCCTATTCCTCCACAGAAGTCAACTTGAATTCTCCACTAAAGCTAAAATTATGGCTTACATCTGGCCAACTAGACCTGGGAGCTTCCTGTGGGAACATAAGATAGCAACAATCCTAAAGTGATAAACAACTGATTTGCTTCCAATGCCTAAATACCTGGGAGGTAGAACTGATGTACTCACCAGTTGTCCTAATTTATGGTGATAACTTAAAATTTGTAATACCACTTATGTAGAAAATTATTTCAAAACACAGTATGAGAAAAATATAAGTCAGAGGTATTGAAGACATTTTTTGTCTTGTGGAATGATAAATAGAACAGAATTCATGATGCATTGGAATCAGAGTAAAGAAACATGTTAAATTGAGGCTGAGAAATTTTATGTCTTTCCCTCACGTAAATCTAAACGCCCATTAAGTCAACAACAAAATTGCAGTAAAACCTTACTATTTAAAAATTTAAGGCATCTTTAGATACACAATTTTCTTAAAATATTTATGTAATTTACACTAAACATATTTACACTATCATTCATGGCTTTGTACAGTCATGTGAGTTAATAATACTACATGGACACACCGATGTAATTAATGTCACTTTTCAATAAAATGACTAATCACAGCAAAAATAAAAAGTTAACACCAGCACAACCTCTCTGGAGTGCAATCCATGTCTACTACAAGAGATGAAAAAAAATTCCTACTGGTACCCAAATAATATCTATGGCAAGAGATTCAACAAACATAAAAAAAAGGGCATTGAATTACATATTTTAAATGCCCATTATGTGAGACATGGCATCACAGAAGTAAAGCTTAAATAACCATCATACATAACACATTATATGACTAATTTAAATAAATTTATAATAAAACAAAAGAAATAATTGATCATCATAAAGAAAAAGTAAGTCTTATAACAAGGAACAAAAAGAAAGGTTCAGAGCATGCAACTTAAGTCATTTGGTCCCCTCTCAGCCCATCCTCTGGTAGTAAAAAAAATAAAAGAGGTCAAATATAATTGAACACTGATACATATAGGTAAGTGGTAATTTTAGTGATGCAAACTTCTTATATAAAAAGGTGATGTGAAAGAAGGAACAAGAAGTTCTCCATGGCTAATCATATTAAAAAAAGCTCAGGAAAGTCAAACATAAATACACACGAAGAAATTGAGAAAATTGGTATTTTCTTAGAGGGAAGGAAAAAAGGAAAAAAGGAGCCAAGGATTGGGCTGAGTTCAGGAATGTAACAAGGCAGTAATTGGCAGTAAATGGCGAATTATAGCTTCATCTTTCAAGATAAGCATTAGAATCACAAAATAAAAAGGGCACCAAGAAACATACAGTACATTTGTGATACTGCTTGTCAGTACCAAAGTAAAGGACTTCAAGTCGATGAATGCTGGCATGGAATAGCAATTTTTTTAATTCTCCGCAGAATCTTTCCAATATCATACCAAGAAAAAGACATGCTGCTAAGACAGGTGGAAATAGCAGCTAATCACAGCAGAAGAGAGGCAGTCAAATGCAAACATTCTTCAAGGGCGGCTTTCACTGCAAGAAAATTTTAGAATAAAAATATAACATGATAAACACCAGCTACAGTACTTCAAAATTAATTCCACTCCTGCTTAAGATCAATACATATAAACTTTGCTTACCCTGGGCCAGGGAAATAGTAAGGAGGGGGCCGCTCATACTCGGTGGACATTGGAGGAGTGTGAGACGTATGTGGGCTATGGTAGCGTGGTGGCCCATTGTTTGGGAAGTCCCAGTGCCTAATGGAGGAAGAATCAGGTCAGATACATTAAAGAGCAAATTACTTTAGGACGAACAGCAATATTTAAATGTATGTAGTTTTGCTTACTTTGGTGCCATATCTGAATAGCGTTGTCCTCCCTGAGAGTGTCCAGGTCTTTCGGGGTCAGTCCGTGCTCGATCACGTTCTGCTCTGCCTAGATGCGCACTATAATCTTGGAGATAACCAGCACCCCCACTCGAATTATCATATGTCTCTTGGTAATTTCTTCCTCTGCTCTGCTTGGTTTTCTTGCGCTTTTTATCGTGAACACTAGACCAAAATGTAAAAATTTACAGTTAACAACTATGTTCATCAAGGTAAATTTTGAAAGTTCGAAAGACAAACTTACTTGGCAAGGGGAATGTTGTCTCTGTCAGCATATGCATCATACATGTACTCCCTATGAAAGTAAATTTAGATTAGATTAAATTACACATAGGAAAAAATACTACAACATCAGTGACATGTAATAGCAAAACTTACGCTTCAACAAGAGGCCCAGGATAAGGGTCTGATTTTTGGTACAGTGTAGCAAGCTTCACTGATAGTATGATTGAAGGAATGAAGAGGAGCAGGCACCAGCCTACACTAGCCCAAAATCCATTCTGTTGAAAAAGAATTATACAGTGAGACTTTATTAAATCATCCCTATGTGATATGAACATTCAAAAAAGGATATGAACTTACAAATGGGTTAAGAATTTCATCACAAGTCGCAATCAATGTTGCATTGTAAACACGACTTAAAGGCCAACACTTTCCTACTTCTGAATGGGTATGGTCAACAACACGCTGCATATAGTGTCTGACATGGCTCAAAAATTCATCAGCAAACTGTTGTGCTATCTGAAATTCAATGTAAGTAGATCACATGAAATAAATTGGATACATGTGTGTGTACATCACAAAATTGAGACACAATTTATACCTCCAGCAGTTTTTGAGGCCCATCCTTATTCAAGTAATCTTGAGCTTTAATAACTTCATTCATGAGTCCATAAATAGCGTCTTTTAATGAATTATGATTTATATTCAGATGATCCTTGAGTTCTTTCACTTTCTCACTTAAATTATGAGCAAACACTGCGAGCTCCTCAATATCTCGCTGGTAATGGATGAGGCTTTTCGCTTCAACTTTTAGTTCATCTTGTATCTACAAAAAAGACAGTCAATATCACAGCCATATTTTTAAAATCTATTAAACAAAGACATGTCTTTACACTTACAGAAATATCATCTATTCTGCTGGCAACAGTTTGTAACACATTAGCAAAGTCTGTGAAGTTCAACTCTGTTATTTTCTGGCCAAGCTGAAAAATAAATTAAAATGAATTTAATCATAATTAATGGTTTAAACATAATACACACATACTATATGAAATAAAAGCACGGTAATCTCAAATAGTAAATACCACTTCAGTGTAGGTATCAAAAGGTATGGTGGGTGATGATTCTGCAAGTTCAGCCAGCTTCCGTTTGGCTTGGTCAGGCAGGATAACAATTTCACCTTCAACATTTAGACGATCTCTTATGGCATCAAGTGCTTCTTGTAGATTTCGATTATTTGCAAAGGTTAAAACTTCACTGACATTGACTCTCGACTCAAGATTTAGTACATCATAAATTGTGCGATTTTGGTGGCAGGCACTGAAAAAAGAAAGGTTTGAAAAATATACATACATATATTGCAAACTATATTGCTAAACCATTTGATCCACAAAAAACTTACACAATCACAGAGCTTATGCTGGTGTGTGCAGGTTGCATACGTCGATGACGACCACGACGATGATTATCAAGTACCTGAACTTGAAGAATCTTCTCCAAAGGTATTACCTGATCCACTAATGAAAATATTTGGTTGTACTGGGGTTCACGAAGTGGCTCACATACAGTGCGTTGGGCAACAACGCCAAGGGCAAAATGCATTAGAACAATAATGATGATAAATGAACTTAGTAAGAGAATAAGCCACACAGCACTGAAACAGAACATGTTGGGTAAAATGTTATAATTATTCTAGATTTAGAGGCACAAATTTTAGGTACAATGTACATACATCATGAGCAGCCGAGCTCCAGAACCCTTAGTGCAGCTATCATCATTATAGGCAGCATCTGGTCGTTTTCCACAAAAGCCACAAAACAGACCAAGTGTGATTGGAACAAGAATCAATAACAGCATGCAACTCACGGATAGATCCATATCATATCTAAGACAAAATTAGATTAGATTAGTTACATCAAAGTAATTGTGTCCATGAGGACAATAAATTCCATAATGATTTGAGGTACATTCAAAATACCTGTATGGACTAAACTGTTGAATATAGAACTTTGCCTGATCAAGAGGAACTTCTGTATTCCGGAAAACAGCTTGATCAGCATTGTCAAGGTACTTTGTAATTTCTCTCGCAATTCGGCCAACATCATCACCTTCATAAATAATGGAAATACTGCAGTTAGTGGGCTTCTTGAGAAAGAAAGTGGGAGAAGTAAATTCATAGCAAGTCCCACCTGTCTTAGCAATAGATGTTGAAATAGTAGGGATGGCATTATCAACCGTTCTTTGAATTTCTCTTTGTACATTGTCTAACTGTCTTTTGCCATTTGTTAATTCACGTTTAACTTCTTCTGACACTAGACCAGACACAGCCTGCAGGCTCTCAGTTATATTTGGTAACTGAAAATTTAAAAGAATATAAAATAGGTAAAAAAATTAGGCAATTTTTTTAAAAAAAATTGGGTTCATATGCAACTTTCTACAAAATCTATTTCTTAATAAAAGGGCCCTGCAATCAAAATAACACAAAGAAAAAGCAAATTGCTGATCATATACTGACTGGAAGCTGACAGATAGGATAAAATAAAAATTACATGTCCAGTTACATGTAAAGCAGCCTAATAATAAAAATAAAAGAAAGGATGCCAGGACCATCTAAAACCAGTACTGCAAAAATATAAAAACAGAGAAAAACAAAATAAACAAAGCAACGCAATCTGTATGGTGTTGACACTATTCCATGCAGCCACAGAGAAAAACCTCCATATCACTGTACCTTAGGAAAATACTTGTCAAGCATCTTTATTTGGCATGGAAAAAGACATAGGATTGTTAGATTTTCATTCAGAAATTTTGGGCAGTCACCAATCAAATTTCTAATTTGCCCCGTAAAAGCATAAAATAAAGAAAAAAATACTCACATCATCAAATTGCTCCTTAATAGCTATCTGATCAATCTGTTGACTGTATTCATTAATTACTCCATTGCACTGCGCAATGCGCTTGCATCTTGCAGAGATATCAATTAAGGAGTTCTTGACTCTCATTAAACCTTAAAAAAATAAAGAAAGACAAATACGACACTTAAAACATAAGAACCGAGACAAGAACTTTTGACTCCTGACACCTTGGGAAAGCAACTTTCACCAACCTTTCTTCAGGATACGGGCGCTCGATTTCAGCTGGTCTGTAATACTGCTTACTTCTGCTAAATCTGCTTTGATGTTACCCAAACCAGCAACAAGTTGAGTCAGGTTATCCAAAGATGTTGCATGGGATATTTCAGCAAGCTGCCGGTTCATTTTCTCGCCGCTGCCTTAAAATTGAGAAACAAATCAGTATTTTGAAAATTGGAGAAATATAATATAACAAATAATTTACAAGACTAATGTTACTAACTATCTAAACTCTTGTCCAGCGCAGTTGACAGTTCTTTATAGTTATCAATGAGAAGGTGGTTTATTTCTTTTTGGGTGTTTTGCAGGAAGAGGCGAGTGTCGTCGATGATGATACTTGTCTTGTTGGGAAGCTCTCGTACCCCCTTCTCCATGTATTCGTTTGTAACAAAGGCGCAAACGACACCAAACCTGGGAATAACATCACGTAATTATTGACACAAAAATTTCCTAACTTATTTTAATTTTTTTCGAGGACAGGAGCTGCGTACAGGAGGGCGATGGCGATAGCCGACAGCAGGACGCCGAAGAAGTGTCGGCGACAAGGGTCGTGGCGCTTGTCGAACGGCTGGGAGCGGGCACCGCAGCGTCCCGTGCAGCGGCAGCAGCAGAACATGAGCCCGGCCACGGGCAGAACTGCGACAAGCACCAGGCCCACCAGCACCACGCCGAGCAGGCCGCCGTAGTAGGCCACCAGGGAGTGCCACTCCACGGGGCCCACCTCCAGCCGGCCGTCCTCCACCCGCACCAGGCCTGCAACATAAGAGGAGGAGACGGGTCAGGAAACGAAGCGCCAGGCCAAACACCGCGGTCGGTCGAGCGCATGCAGTGCAGCATGGGGCCTAGTTGGGTCGGGGTGGGGTAAGGGAAGGGATCATGGGGATCATCAACAAAGTAGGTCCGTCACTTGCATTATGAAAATGCCAAATTCAGCCATTGCAAGCTCTCATAGCGCCTGGCAGGTAGGCAACATCTTGTCTGAGGTGCACGGGTGTACTGCGGGGTGGCCTACCCCGAGTTTCGCAGGCGCCAACCTCCCGTAATTTAACGCTGAAACTGAGAAAATCTACTTTCCGGACGATTCCTAAGGGTCACTGAAAGCCGAAACAGCGGCGTTTCCCTCCTTCCCCTTTCATTGCCTCCCGACTCCATTCACCTGGGCGTGCACCCTTGTCGCTATGGCCAAGCTCAGCACGCCCCGACGACGCCGACCCGACGACGGGCCCAACCCTCATTGGCTGCATCCGGTGGAGCCGGGCCGCGGCGACGGCGACGCGGCGCGTCACTTCGCGACAAAACAGCCACCCCACCCCACCCCGTCCGTCCCGTCCCACCCGCACTCGCGGCCGTGCCGCTGGTTCGCGCCCCGCTCACGGCGTACGGTACATCGGCACATCCGGAGACACACGCGGCCGCCGGCCCGTGACTCACGCCCAGAGAGAACAGGGGAGCCGCGACGCCATTAGCTAATCGTGCTTTCGCTTTGACCAGACTGTCGCCGCGGTGAGTTGTGACGGGACAGCTACCGCCGGCCCACGGGTGCCCCCGACCCTGCCGCGGCCCCGCTGCGCGCGACTGCAGCCGTTCGACACCAAGGCCAATTTAATGATGGCGCGACCCCAGCAGCAGCCGCCAAAGGTGCCCCCACCTCCCTACCCAAAACCGCTCAAATCAGCGCACAGAAAGGGCAAAAATAGGTCGGGATGGGGATGATGGGCATGTTCGCAAAACAAGGCGTTTGCCTACCGCCCGGAAAGGTGCGTGCATAGATAGAGCAGAATTATTGCCATGGATCGGGTGGCACCACAGGCCGAGTAGGTACCCGGTAGGTACCACTTCGCTGCGCCGTGCGCCGTCGTGCACCGCTTCCTGTCCACCCACGCCCACCTCCACTCGGCTCACATTTCGGCTGCTCACTCGATACTTTCTCCCCCGCCGAGCAAACACCCTGCAACCTGCCGGCCTGCCTACCGGCCGCAGCGGGCGCCTCTAAAGAGCCTCCCTGTGGGTCCCATCACACCGTGATGCGATCAATGTACAACACACACACACACACACTCACGCAGTGCGGTGAAAATGTGATATTCATTACGGCCTGCGTTCCCAAGCGAGCGCAAGGGGGAGAAGGAGAGAGAAATAAAACAAATAGCATGCAAGCGGGATGAATGAACGCCTCGGGAGGAGTAACCCCCTCCTCCTCCTCCTCCCCACCCCCCGAACGGGAATCGTGAGACTGGCCGGGGCACCGCAGGACGGAGGGGGCCCGTGGCGCGGCCGCGGCCTGGGCTCTGGACTGGTACCTTCGCGGGCTGCGCCTCCAGAGCCCCCGCGTGCCCCCCTGCCAAGGTAGGGGCCCCGCCCCGCCACGCCCGAGCCGCTAGACTTAGCTGCCGCCACTAGACGCGACGAGGAGGGAGGGCGTGGGGCGGAGGGGGGAGGCGGCGCGGCTCAACTGAGCTCGAGGCCAAGAACCTGACGAGGGCCGCATCAGAGACGCCAGCAGCGCGGACCACTCGGAGACGACCCCATCCACGGGCAGGGCCAGGCCAGGCTAGGCCCCGAGCCTAGAGGAGGCAGCTCCCGGCTCCAGCACAAGGTGCGCTCAGGTGGCACCGCGGGGCCCAATGCCAAGCTGCTAGACCCATGTAAGTAACCCTCTCCCCTCACACTCTTCGGGTGTCGACGAGCCCAGGCGACCGCCCCTGCCAGCGCTACAGGTGCCCCTGGCAGGGCTGCAGCCCGCCCGACCCCGCCCGCAAGCAGCCAAGGTAGGGAAGGGACTTTCACCAATCGGAAACAAAAAGGACAGCGCGCGAAGACAGGGGAAAGGGAAAGGGG